CCCCCAGTTAACCTGAATGCTCAGCATTTTTTTTATCCGGTATTTAACTCCCCGCCTGGTTGTGTGCCAGAGGGACTCTCTTAGCTTTACAGAAATAAGGGCAACACTTTCATGTCACTGCTCATCTCAAAACATGATCATACTTGGAAAAGAGCAGCCAGATCTGCTTTGGAGGAACTGCTGGTGAAGTGCAGTCCTCCCTCACAGCAAGCCTACTGCCTGGCTTCTTACATTTTTCACATTCCTCCAGTTGAACTGTAGCATTATACAGCAGAACAACAGCTAAAAAGTATCCATATGATCTGCACTGCAGGAAGACACAGCTGCGCACATGACACGAACACTGTGACAGCAAGAGCTGCTGGGTAAGAGCATTCAATGAGCAGAGCAGCATCTGGCAGTTCCCCCCCCATCAGTAACTCAGGGCAGAAACTCACTGCTCAAAGTTGATGTATTTCACAATGGTTTGGTTCTCTTCATTATGCCACAGTGCCCAGATCTCAGCCGAGGTTAAGGCAAAGTCAATGAGAGTCTCCTGGAGGAAGGGCACAGATAGAGTTTATCAGAAATGTGAGCACAGCAGACTCGTGTGGTTAAAAACAGCCAAAATCTCCCTCGTGCAATTTACCCATATTCTGGAGAGAATCCTTGACTAAGAGTTAAATCCAGCAGGGAACACTCCCTTCTTATTTTGGAAGGACCTGCCCTGGCACTCACCTGGGAGGAGAACAGCGAGGATATGTGGTCAAGGCTGTAGCGGTTGCTCTCAGTGCTCACCAGCTGGAAGACACAGAACTACCAACAAATCCTGTAAGTCATTTGCTAAAGAGAAACACCAACACGTGTGCTGCAGGGAAGCCTCTCCTTGCTCCCTGCCACCATTCACAGGCCCGTAGTGTGGCAGATGCCTGGCCAAGGGCAGCAGAGACTGGACTGAGCCAGCATTCCAGACTCCAGCCAGCCTTGTCGGCAGGACAGCCTGATCCCTGCCCAGACATGAAGGCTTCTGAAAAACTGAATACCAGAAAAACAACAACACTGCTGGTTCCTGCAAGTGACAACACGATGCAGGTAAGCAGAGACGGAAAAGACTGGAATCCTCAGGCAAGCTACTGCAAACAAAGCTCTGTGTGTCCTTACACAAGTAAGCTAGCACTGGAGAGACAGCAGAAACCACACTGTGCGCTTCTACTCAGAGCTTGAATCCCCTGGAGAGCTGCAAGGAGAAGCTGTGCAAGAGATGAGGCTGTCCTGTGCTGTCAGTCTCCTCCTGCTGGATTTATTATTTACCACACGGCATGGGAGATCTACAGAAACTAACATTTCACAGTGCACTGTGATGCACTTGCACGTTCCCAGGAACCCAAGATAAACACACTCAGTGTTTCCACATTTATGGCTCCTTTCAGATCATTCCCATGGCACGTATGTACTACCACAACAGACTACGAATGAGTGGATCAGCACTTGGCTTAATCACACAGAGAACTCTCCTCCCAAGGCAAGGACACGTGTCCTGCGGTACTGAGGACAAAACTGTTTACTCAAAGCACTGCCTTCTCCCTCTGTGAGGGCAGATTTCTTGCCTTATGCATACTCAGCTCTGAGGAGAAACAATGTGTTTTCTGCATGGCCCAAGAAAAACGTGCTTATAGCAAGGCAGCCCTGCTGCTCCCTACCTGCCCTCGCTTGGGTGCATGCATGTACACGCCGAGGTAGAGCCCCAGAGACTGAGAGAAGGCCAGGCGCAAGCGGTGGCCGGTGCCAGCTGCGAGCCGCAGGTCCCTGCTGACCGGCATGAATTCCAGGAGGTCTGCAACCATCAGGCACATTTGATCCTGCAAGAAACACAGGAAAGCAGCGTGAGAAATAAATGGGACCGCAAAGCTGCCTTCAGTTCTTCTCCAGGAGCAGCATGGCCAAATCCTTCCCTCCAGGATGTCAGCAAAGCATCCACACATGCACCATAAGCATTCTGGTTGCAGTTTAGCTCCCCCAGCTCATCTGTGCTCTCTCAGCCAGCACACAGAGCTTCCCCTCCCACTAACAGCAGACATGCATTCCAGCACAGCCAAGCCGTGAAAGCGCCTGTGCTGGTTGATTAGCTCTGGAGCAAGCAGCACGCAGCGAGCAGAAGCTTTTGTTAACTTCTTGTTGACAAAAAGTCACGTTACATTACCACTCAAGCAGCAGAACACCCATTTCAGGTGCTGCCTCATCCCTTGGGATGCTCCCACTTGCCTATCTGAGTTAGTTTGGAAATAACCCAATGCCACGTGTTAAACTACACCTGCATCCACACTGCTGCTCTGAACACATGCCTCACCTTGTAGGACCACATCCTAAGCTTGTGGTCCTGGCAGAGTGCAAAGAGAAAGGCATCGTGGTCCAGGCAGTGAACTGCGAGGCTGATGGGTACATCTGATGGGCCACCATCACCTCTGAAAGTACAAGCATTACTGCAGTGAGTTAAAAGGAAGCCAAGGTTGGCACGCAGGTTCAAGACACTGGATTTCTCTCGTGATTTTTATCCATGAACAGAGATGAAGGACTGAGGTGGGAAAAGAGAGGCGCCTGGCCCCAACCAATGCACCCCTGGTGATCCAACTCACTCAGGTTGCTGCAGGCTTGTTCACATTCCCCAGCATTTAACAGGGCTTTGGGTTTGATCACATGCTTAAGCTGCCATAAAACTACAGTCCCCAAACGAGCTGCCTCTGCCTGTGTCATCTGCACATAACCTCTGCTGGTCAGAAAGGAGCCTGACATTTTGGAACAAGGACAAGAACATACAACTGTTGTAATCCTTAATCTGCCCTGGCTGCGAGCCACATCCTGGGCAAATCCTCAGAGGCCAATTACTCGACGTAACGCTCTCACGAACACCAACGCATGGGATCAGCAGGACCCCATTAAGATGAACTAATCCATCTCACTCTGACAGGGCCTGTGACCCAGTTAACTTTTCAGACCACATCTGCAGATGCTGATTTGCCCACACTGGACTTCAACTAGAAACACTGCCTCCTCCTGTGCGAGGGAATCATAAAACAAAGCGAGCTCCCTGTGTTTGTCCCCAAACACCAACCTGATGGCCGTTGGCATCCAACCGGTGAGGAAGCGCTGCACCACTGAGCTCTGTTTCAATTCCACAACTGAAACAACTCCTTGCAAAATAAAAGCAACACAAGAAAAACACACTGAGTGCCTGTTAACAAAACATCTGCTGCCAGCAGGGAGGCTGATGCAGAAGAGATGCTGCATGTGCAGCAAGGCCATAAGATGCACGTGACAAAACCCAAACCCATCGAGATCCAGAGCTGGAAGAGAGGATACTGCGTTGCACAGAAGCAGGTGCAAGGATGCAGCCTTACCAGGTACATCGTGAGGAGGCAGCTTAATAACAAAGATGCCTCCTGCTGCAGAGGGCAGAGCAAAAAGGGCCTCCCCATCACTGCTCAGCCAGGCTGCTGAGGCCACTGAGTTGGCTGCCAAGCCCGGCACGCTGGGAATCAGGTAGTAGCTGGATGGATCTCTGAAGTTGATTTTGCCAATGTCTGTAAATATGGACTGCATTTGGCTCTCTGTTATCAGATCCTGGAAGAGGCAAAGGGAAGAGAACAAGCCTCAAGCACATATACAAGCCATGGAGGAAATAACCCAGCACCTATGGAGCAACACTGCTGTGTGATGAAAAGAGGTTTTCCTTTCAGTAAGAACTCTCACTCTGCCAGTTGCTTTTGCTGCTCTCCAATAGATGCAGGTTTTAAACCTCATTTTCCAGCAGAGTCCTCTCCCTCCTCACATACAGCAATGCTTCCAGAGAAACCACTGACCACAAGGACGGGCTTTAAGCCCCTCATAAACCCCTCTACGCCACTCACCCCACGGTAGGCATGGGCTGGGTGGGGCAGCAGGACACGGTGCACGCTCTGCACGGTGACCAGCAGCAGCACAAGATGGTTCTGCACCTCACACAGGTGCACACCACCCGGCAGCAGCGGGCAGCCCTGGATGCGTAACCGCACAGCATTGTTCAGCAGCTCTGTGTCCAGCGATTCCTCCACCAGCTCGAGGGTGTCCCCTGATGTTGTCCTGAGGGGAAAAGGGAAGCGTGGGACACAGGGGACAACAAACTGGGGGCATGCAGGGACAGAAAGAAGGGGCTTCAGGCAGGCAAAGTCTGCCTCACGCCCACCCCATTCCCTTCAGCCCCCTCTATCCCTGCCTGCTCCAATTCAACCCCCACCCCCCACAACCTCCTCTTCCATCCCAACATCCCCCAAACCCATCTTCAACCCTCACAACCCCACCTTCCATCCCTACCTGCCTTCAAACCCATCCCCATCACCCCACATCCCTTTCATCCACCCCCAGGCCCAAACCCATCCGCCCTCTTACAGCCCCCCCCTCCATCAGACCATCCCTACCCAAAAACACACCCCCTCACAGCCCCTCCGTGCTACAAACCCTCCTCCCACGCCTTCACAGCCCACCGTTCATTCCCCTCCCCAATCCCGCCCCCCTCCCTCACAGAGCCCCGCCCGCCCTCACTCACCACCTCACGCAGCGGTTCCGCGTGGCCGCCCCCAGCTGCGCGCACTCCCGGTAACAGAACCCCCCAGCGCTGTCCCCGTAACGCCCGGCAGGGACGGGAGCGGTGCCCGGCGGACTGAATGATACCTCACGGAGCCGCCGGGGCGGGGCGCGAGGCGCCGGGCCCAGCTCCATGTAGCTGCGCTCCGCCAACCCCGCCGCCATCTTGTCGGCACCTTCCCGCCCGCGCGGGGCAGCACGGGAAATGGCGGGCGGGGAGGAGGCGGTGCCCCCTACCGGGTGGGCGGGGCGATGGGCGGAGAGAGTGGGGCGATGGGCGGAGAGGGCGTGGCCGTGGGTTGAAACCACGCCCCCAGCGCTCAGGCCACGCCCCCTCCGGGCTCGCCCGCTGCTTCCTGCAGGCACGGCCGGGACGGGGCGGCGGCGGAGTGCTGAGAGTGAGCGAGCGCGGGAGGGGGAGGCTCTATGGGGCGGCAGCCGTGGGGTGATGAGGGGCTGGGGCGCGTAGAGCTGTGGGTGGCTGAATCTGGGGCTCCTTATGCGGCTGTGTGACCGGTGGGGCGGGAGCTGAGGGTCCCCGTGGGGCTGGAGCCGGGGTTTTCTATGGGTCTGCGGCCTGTGGGTCGTGGGGTTCCGTGTGCCGTGGGCCCCTATGGCGCTGGGGATCGCGGGGCCCTGTGGGTCTGTGGGTCCTGGGGTTCCCAGCGCTGTGGGTGCCTGTGGGTCTGGGGACTGAGCGTTACAATGGGGTTAGGGTCCCGTGGGGTAGGAACCGGGGATCCCTGTGGGGCCTGGGAAGTGTGGGTCCCAATGGGGCTGAGGTCTGCGTGTCCCGGGCTGCCCAGTGCTGTGGGTCCTGGTGGGGCTGGGGACTGTGTTCCTGCGGGGCAGGAGGCCACGGGTCCTGGGGGTCACTATGGGGCAGGAAGCTGCGGGATGCCCAAAGAGGTGGGGCAGGATCCAGGAGGAAGCGCGTGTGTTTGGAACGGCCGTCGGGACCCCAACCCCATGGCGTCACCCCAGCGCTGCTCCGCGGCCGTGAGGCCGCCGGAATCCAGGAAAAAAAAAGCAGGGAAATGGTGAAGCGCCTGCCCTTATATGGCTCCGGCCACCCTCCGGCGGGCTGCGGGCCTGGCAATTCGTTCCCCACGCAGGATTTCACCGCTGCCTCAGTTTCCCCATCCGCGGGGCGCTGAGGGGGTGGGGGCACCCGGTCGGTCGGGGGTCTGAGGTCAGAGTTAAATCCCCGACGGAGGCTTTGGCAGCACCGGGAAGGGGGGGCACGGCATCACCCCCCCGCCCCGTGACGTCGGCCCCGCGCCGTAATCCCGGAGCTGAGCGGATTATGGTGGCCGTGGGGCGAGCGGAGCTGTGGGTCGGAGAGCCCCAAACCTCTTGCGAGGACGGCTGCCCCACGGCCGTGCCCTCCCGGGGGGCACCGATCTGAGGGCGGTGGTGGAACGCGGCCATGCGGCACGGGAGGAGTCGGAGGGAACCGGCCGGACCGGTTCGAGTCCCGTTTTGCGCCCGTTCCGGTGCCCGGGGGGAGGACCTCGCCACCGGCACGTGGACGTGGCTGAAGGTCACCGTCCAGCCTTTCCCCACTGTCGTTGCCGTTGTTCCTGTTGTCCCCGCCCCGTCACCATTTCAGCACTCTTCCTGCCCAGTGTTTGGGTTTTGGGTGGACGGTGGCACTGGAGAGCAACAGGCAGTGACATGGAGCAGTGCCATACGGTGGCATGGCGAGCGTTGGCCATCAGGTCAACCCTGGGGTACCCCATGCCATCAGTATTTCAGCAGCCTTCCTCCTTCATGTTTGGGCTTTGGGTGCTACGGCGGCTTTGGTGACGTGGGGCATGGTGACATGGAGCAGGGTTCCTCATGGTGGTGGCGTGCTGAGCACCAGCCATCAGGTCAACCAGGCTGTGACCTTGCCCTTCACCCACAGAGCCTGGGGATGCCGGTGCCCACCCTCGGCGCGGGTCCAGATCCCGGCATGGAGGAGGAGGCATCGGGTGATGGCAAGGAGCCCTGGTTGGGCAACAGCAACAACAATGCGGCACCAGTGGGGTGGCTGTGCCGGCGGGGTGAGGAGCCCTCCTACCTACAGCGTGTGCTGCTGGAGATTGTGGAGTCGGAGCGCACCTACGCCCGTGACCTGCGTGGCATCGTGGAGGTGAGCGAGCTGCAGGGTGGGCATCGTGGTGCTAAGTCTGGTCACTTGGTGCCACTGAGCGTCCCTGTAGGGCTACCTGGGGAAGATCATCGATGCCCAAGAGCCGCCACTGCGGCCGGAGCAGGTCAGCGCACTCTTTGGGAACATTGAAGACATCTATGAGCTCAGCAGGTGAGTGGCAGCGCAGTGGCACCAACACCTGCCATAAGGGGGATGCTCCGGTCACCCCTGTGGTCACTTGCTGTTCTCTGCACCCAGCAACCTGCTGCAGAGCCTGGAGAGCTGTGCCTGTGACCCAGTGGCCGTGGCTGTCTGCTTCGTGACGCGGGTAAGGGGACAGGGGGACACAGGGGGGAATGGGGACGCAGCGCCCAGCTCTTACCACATTCTCACTGCCCACAGAGCCAAGAGTTTGACATCTACACGCAATACTGCAACAACTACCCCAAGTGAGTGGGTGCTCGAGGTCAATGGGGTTGGGAGCTGTGGGGGTTGGGTGCTGTGGGACTGGGTGCCGTGTGGCTGAGCCCCCTCTGCGCCCTGCAGCTCAGTGGCGACATTAAGTGAGTGCATGAGGAGCAAGCAGCAGGCACGGTTTTTCCGTGAGTGCCAGGAGGAGATGCGGCACGTGCTCCCACTGGGTGCCTACCTGCTGAAGCCGGTGCAGAGGATCCTCAAGTACCACCTGCTGCTCCAGGTGAGCACACGTGGCGCGGGCACTGGGCATGGCACAAGTACCTGGTATGCTGGGAGCAGCTGGCATGGCATTAGGCAAGGTGTGGGGCATGGCTGGGGCACCTGGCATGGCACATCCTTGTGGCACAGCCAGACCCATCATGGCTCATTTCCACAGGCACCCTGTGTGGTGGGAGTTCATGGCATGGCACAGGCATCTGGCACAGTGTGGGACATGGCATGCTCACTGTGGCATGTCTCCATGGCACAACTTTGGCACAATTTGATTCCATGGGTGCTTGTTATGGCACATCTCCATGGCACATGTCTGTGGTACTAGGACTTGATGTGGCACATGTCCATGGGCATATTTTGTTGGTCTGGGCACTTGGTGTGGCACATCTCTGTGATGCAGCCTGGGCACATATCCGTGATGGCACAGTACATCTCCCTGACACAAGATGGGCACCTTTTGATGTACTGGGCACTTGGTATAGTACGTGTCCATGACACAACAAGGGTGCATTCCCATGACATGTGTACCCACCACATTTCTGCAGGAGATCGCTAAGCACTTTGAGCACAAGTCGGGTGATGACTATGAGGTGGTGGTGGAGGCCATCGACACCATGACCTGTGTGGCCTGGTACATCAACGACATGAAGCGCAAGCATGAGCATGCCATCCGGCAGCAGGAGATCCAGTCCTTGCTGCTGCAGTGGAAGGGTCCTGATCTCACCACCTATGGAGAGCTGGTACTGGAAGGCTCCTTCCGTGCGCAGCGTGCCCGCAGTGAGCGTGCTGTCTTCCTCTTTGACAAGCTGCTCCTCATCACCAAGCGCCGTGGGGACCACTATGTCTACAAGAGCCACATCCCAGTGCGTGTCCATGGCCAGCTTGGGGGCTGGGGGTGGGCAAAGTGGTACAAAGTTTGAGCACAGATCTCAGGGTTGGGAACTGGATCCGAGGGGTGGGCACAAAGGGTGGGGAAGGAGTCCCAGAGGTGGGCAGTGGAGTTCAAGGCTGGGCACAGGTCCTGGCAGTAGGTGTAGGGGTCATGGGGATGAGTGTAGGAGTCCACAGGGTCCCATTGGGATTATGGGGGTCTAGGATAGGCATGGGGTTCCTGGGGTGACCATGGGTTCCAGGGTTGGGAAGTGGGGTCCAAGGAGTGAGGTAGAGCATCCAGGAGGTGGGCAGGGGGGCCTTGGTAGTGAGCAGTGGATTGCAAGGGATGAGCACTGGGGGCACGGGTTTGGGCACAAGGGTCCCAGGGTTTGGAACTGTGGTCCAAGGGGTGGGTTATGGGGTTCTGGAGGTTGGTAATGGGGTCCCAGGTGTGGGCACTGAGACGGGGGGGGGTCATGGGAATTCTTGGATTGGGAAAAGAGTTCCAAGGGGTGAGCAGTGGGGGCATGGGAGTAGGTATGGGTGTCTCAGAGAGGGCAGTGGGTTCAAGCAGTAGGCGTGGAGGGGGCACAGGTAGCCCATGGATGTGGGCAGTGAGGTCCCAGAGGTGGACACTGAGGTCTTGGTGGCACATATGGATGGCACAGAGGTGGGCAGTAGGTTCAAGGAGTGGGTGCTGAGGTCCTGAGCATGGGCAGTGGGGTCCAAGGGGTGGGTATGGGGGTTCTGGTGTGGGCATTGAGGGCGTGGAGGTGGGCACAATGTTGTTGACACTTTCTCTGCAGTGCGCCTCGCTGATGCTGATTGAGAGCACACGGGACTCACTGTGTTTCAGCGTGGCACACTACAAGCACATCAAGCAGCAGTATGCCCTGCAGGTAGGGGACATGGGGCATATCAGGTGGGGGGTGTGGGGACCCACTCCCACCTAATGCTGCCGTTGCCCCCACCCCAGGCTAAGAGTTCAGAGGAGAAGCGGGTATGGACACACCACATCAAGCGGCTCATCCTGGAGAACCACCACGCCATTGTCCCGCAGAAGGTGAGGGCACACACCCCCATATCACCCCATTTATGTCTTAGTGGTGGGAGACATCCTGCGGTGCCACCTTCTGCCACTGACTGACCCATGGCTTCTCCCCCCACCAGGCCAAGGAGGCCATCCTGGAGATGGACCTGTTCTGTGAGTGCCCCTATGTCCCCCATTGTCCCCTTGTCTCTCACTGTCCCCCATCATCTCCCATCATCCTCCTTGTCCCCATGCCCACCGTTGTCCCCACTGCCTCCTTGTCCACCACTGTCCCCCCGCTGACCCCATATCTGCACTGTCACCATTATCTACCATTATTTCCTTGTTCCCCACTGTCTTTATGTTCCTTATCATCCCCATTGACCTCTTGTCCCCATCATCCTCATGTCCCCCGCCGTCCCCACATCCCCCGCTATTCTCTTATCCCACTGACCCCATATTCCTTTGCCCCTCATTGCCCAATGTCCCCAATCATCCCCCACTATCTCCATGTCACCTGCTGTCCCCTTGCCCCCCACTGTTCTCACACCCCCTCATCACTGCTGTCTATGCAGACCCCCCACGCCTGCCCCGCTGCAGCCCTGAGCACCTGCCCCGGAGCCACTCCTGCCAACCCTTAGAACCACCACGCCATGGCCGGCGGCAGTCTGGTGAGTGTCCCCATGTCCCCATATCCCCTGTGGTGACAGCACTGTGCTGATCTGTGTCTCCTCCAAATGCCTTCCGACCCAACAGAGCCCTTTCAGTGCCGTGACCGTGCCGAGACGCTGCCGGACCGACTGCAGGGGCATGTGGGGCGCAGGCAGTCAGGTGCGGATGGGGATTGGGGATGGGTGGGGGACTTGGGGACAATGCCACTGCAGCTCTGTGACATTACTGTGTGTCCCCACAGAGCCTGCCAAGCAGATCCTGCAGCAGCTGGGAAGGATGAAGGTAAGGTTGGGTGTTGGGGGACTGCCCCCCGGCGTCTCTGACCCCCAAGTAGGTGCTGAGCCCTTACCCCCCCCCCACCCAGCATGCAGGCAGTGAGGGGACCCTCCTGGATGCTGGGGAACCCCTCCAGCCCCGTAGGAGCTGGGCTGAGGGTGTCGTGGAGGAGGAAGAGGAGGAAGAAGAGGAGCCTTTGCACAAGGACAGCCACGAGGACAGGGACAGGGACAAGAATGGGGACATGGCAGAGAAGCCCCAGGAGGAGCAGGTATCCTTACCCTTGGGATGGCCCACATCACTTAAGGAGCACACTGTAAGTGTTGTGATCCTCACTGCTGCACTCCCTCAACCTTTCCTCTTGCAGGAGACCTGTGAGCAGCACCACGAGGCCACTGCCACCCCCGTGTCCCCTGTGTCCCCTTCATGCCATGGGGAGCATGAGGAACTGGGGACCCCCGCTCCCCCCTCTCCATCGGGATTCCTCCCACCAGTGGGGCTGCCTGACGAGGAGGAGCAGCACCCAGAGACAGGCACCGGGGAGGACCCACGGGCTCTGAGCAGCGAGGAGGAGGAGGAAGAGGAGGAGGAGGAAGGCCATGGGAGTGGCAGCATCCTGCCCCCCTCCGTGCTGGACCAAGCTAGCGTCATCGCTGAGCGCTTTGGCAGCAGCATGTCACGCCGCGGCAGCATGGTGCTGGACGGACGCAGTGGCAGCGCCCTCAGCCTTGATGGGGTGACCCCTCCACAAGAAAACATGGGGTCCTGCAGCCCCCTGCCCTCCCCAGGCTCCCCCCAGGGCTGCCGGCGCCGCTCGCTGCTCTCCACCCAGGACCGGCTGCTGCTGCATAAGATCCGCAGTTACTACGAGCACGCGGAGCACCAGGACGCCAGTTTCAGCATCCGGCGCCGTGAGAGCCTCTCCTACATCCCCAAAGGACTGGTGAGGAACTCGGTGTTCAGGATCAACAGCTGGCCTCCTCTAGAGCCAGGCAGCCCCAAAACTCCCACGGAGCCGGTGAGCCCCAAAGTCCTCCTGGAGCCAGGGAGCCCCAAAAGTTCTCCAGAACCGGTGAGCCCCAAAACGTCACTGGAACCAGCGAGCTCTCAAGTGTCACCGGTGCCAGATGGAGGAGCGTCACCTCCTGTGTGCCGAGAGAATGGGCTGCCCGAGCCTCCCACAGAGCCTCTGCTCATACTGGAGGAGGAGGAGGTGCCTCCCCCAGGAGTGCTGGCTCTGGGGGCTCCCCCTCGGCGTCTCACCAGCAGGGTGTACCAGTTGGCGCGCCAGTACAGCCTGCGCATCAAGAGTCGACGCCGTGCCATTATTGCACCGGGGGACAATGCCACTCACACCCCAGCACCAGGTGGGATGCGATGGGGGACCGCAGGCATCGTCCCGCTACCGCCATCCTGCTCTCACCCCGCTCCTTCCACCCCAGGTGTACCAAAGCTGCCGGTGTCACCCAGGGATGGCATCACCGTCCCAGCCCCACGCAGCCCACCCAGCCCCAGTGGCACTGCCGAAGCCTTCTCTTGGCCAGATGTCCGGGAGCTGCGTGCCCGTTTTGGAGCCCCACGGCCCCCACCAGTGACACGCAGCCGCTCTGCGCCTGAGGGGCCAGAGCGTGGGGGGAGACCAGCAGCCAAAGAGCAGCAGGGCGGGGGCCGCAGCCGCAGCGCTGAGGCAGGCACTGGGACCCCAAATGTGCTGCGTGGCAGTGACCAGCAGCATGCTCCGGGGCTGTGGGTGACGGCGCAGGCACCCCTGGGCACCGGGGGGCAGCGGGTGCTGGTGTTGGAGCGGTTGCCCCCAGCCATGGCTGCTGAGCCTCCAGCCTATGTGCAGATCCGCTCGCCCACCACCCGGGAGAAGATCTGCCTGAAGGCGGTGGTGGAGCGCTGCAAGGCTTACCAGGCCTCCGAGGAGTACCGGCAGCGCTGTGCCCAAGGGCAGGCTGAGGCACCTGAGCCCCCCCGGCACGGCCTCGTCAGGGACCTGCGGCAGAAGTTTCAGACCCTCGACACCGCCAGCTAGGGAGGGCGGCCAGGAGATGGGGCAGCCCATGGACCGCCAGGAGATGGGACATCCCATGCACCACCAGAAGACTGAAGGCACCTTGTACCATTAGTAGATGGGACATCCCACAGACAACCCTCCCTCTCAGCTCTCTCAGACCAAAGGGTACCCAACTGACTTGGGAGAAGTTGTACCCAATGGACCCCATGAAGGGGCATACAATGGAACCCAGCTTGCTCAGGAGATAGAGCACCCCGTGGACCACTGGGAATTGGGATGTCCGTTGACCACCAGGAACTGGGACACCCCACTGACCACCAGCAGCAGTGGGATTCCATTAACCTTTTGGTTCCCCAGGATAAGGGGGACCTCATGGACCATCAGGAGAGGAATCACCCCATAGGCCAACGATACATTAAAGAGACCGTGGTCCCCCACCCTACTTCCCAGAAGGGCCCTCACATTGCACAGCCCTGGGCCCACCTTGCTTTGACATCTTTATTACAAAAAAAACCCAAACCAAACCCAAAGTTCTCCCTGCCCACGCACTCCCCCCAGAGATGAGTGGTGCCCCCCACCCACAGCAAGGGGCCAAGCGTTTGGGGAGGACGTGCTCTTCGTGCTCTTTGGTTGGTGCCCATGGGGCTGAGGGCACGCTGGTGGGGGACGGGAGGGGGGGAGGGGGGAGGGCTTATGGCTTAGAAAAGGGGGTGGGGGGACAGGATGTGCCCACGTGGAGTGGGTGCATGTGCATGCATGCGGGGCCACGCGAGTGCAAACGCACGCAGGTGTGTTCCCCAGAGGGGGTGGGGGATGTGAGCACACACGTGTGCGTATCTGCGTGCACCTCCACTGAGGTGCGTGCATGCCCTGAAGCATGGAGATGTGTGTATATATATAAATATAAATATCTATAAATATATATATATATATATACACGTGTGCACTCACATATGTGCTGGGCTGCCCCCCCCACCCCTCCCCCCTTGTTATTTCTTCTTGGGGAAGAAGCTGAAGCGCTTCTCCTTGTCCCGCCGGGGCTCAGGGGGGGCGTGGGGTGGGGGCAGGCTGCGTGCCTTGGCCGGCAGGTTCTGACAGGAGGTGATGGCCATGTGCAGCCCCTGCAGCCACGTCTGCATCTCCTCCTGGAGGGGCATGGGGCTGTTGGCACCTCCATGGCCCTGGTGGTCGCCCCACGGCTTGACCCGGGAGCGCCAAGACACCCAGCGTCCCCTGGGCATTACCAGCCACCACAGTGTCCCACCTCTGCTCACCCCAATGTCCCATGGCCATGCTATGTCCCCCTGGGCACCACCATGTCCCTCTTGGGTATTTCTATCACCCCAATGTCCCATGGTCACTTTATTGTCCCACTAGGCATCAGTGACCACCACCAAATCCCACTTGGGCACCTCTGGTCACCCCCGTGTCCCCTTAGGCACCACTGCCCAGCCCTTATTCCTTTGGGCCCCTCCAGCCACCGTGATGTCCCATGGCCTACCTGTGTCACCCACTGCCCCAGCATATTCCTCTACACACCTCTCATCACCCTCACATCCCATGGCTGCCCTATGTCTCTCTGAGCACCACTGGCCACCACTATGTACCTCTATGCTCCTCTGATCACCCCAATGCCCTCTGGCTACAACAAGCCAGCACAATATTCCCCTGGATGTTACTAACCATCTTTTGTCCCCTTGAGTACCGTTGGGTACACTGATGTCCCATGGCTGCCCTTATGTCCCCTTGGGCATCACAGGTCACCTCCACATACCCCTTTGGCCACCCGAATGTCCCCTTTAGGTGCTGCTGGTCATGCCAAGATCCCTCTGGCCACCCTCCAGCCCCCTATGCACCACTGTGGAGATCCTTTACTTGTTTGGGCACCTCTGGCCACTTCAGTGTTCCCTGGCCATCCCATTCTTTGTCCCCTCGGCCACCCCCAACAATCCCTTGTGCACCACCAGCCATTCTTTGTCCCCTCGGCCACCCCAACATCTTGTTGGCCACCCCATGTCCCCAGGACACCCCTCACCTCATCCTTGCCATGGAAGAGCCACTCGCTGCCATTGCTGAGCCTGGGGGCAGAGCACAGCTGGTGGTGAGACATCTGCCACCATGTGGCTCACTGCGCCAATGCCGTGCCATGACACAACCATGCCGTATAGTGCCACAACCATGCTGTCTATTGCCATAACCATGCAGCGCCATGCCATAACCGTGCTGTACCATGCCATAACCACATCGTACCATGCCATAACCACATCGTACCATACCTGAGCGCAAAGACGTGCTTCTTCTTCTTGTAGCCAGCAGCCACCTGGCAGCGTGCGTTGCGCAGCCCCAGGGGCTCCTCACCCTGGCAGGGCACCCCCAGTGCCCGGCTCTTGGCATCCTTGAAGAAGGCAAGCTCCTCACCCCGCAGCACGCAGTACCGTGTGCTCCATGACCTGTGGGCAGCTCCGTCACAACTGGGCCACCTCCACAGCCATGGGTGGGCCACTGTGCTGTGCCTACCTGTTGGATGCACGCTTGGTGGCCGCCTCCAGGTCGTGCTTGCGGCCCAGGTAGCCCTCCAGCTGAACGTGGGCAGGCTGGGCGGGCAATGTGGCCACCTCTTCCCGCGGTGCTATGGGCTCCTCCTCGGGCACTATCAGCTGTTGCAAAGCAACAGCCACGTCACTGCCCATCCCCACTGCTGTCACCTCCCAGAAAGCCACCTCCCATGGGGACCTCCCCATTGTGCCATCCCCAGTGGGGACACATGAAACACAGGTACCAATGTTGAGGGTGACCACCCCACGCTTGGTGATGCATGGGAGCTGGCAGACATTGGGAGCCACCACGGCATGGGACCCCTGAACATGGTGCCAGTGCTTGGGGACAGTGGCACGTGGCGGATGGAATGCTCAGGGTGAGGCTTTGGGAAGTGGCATGGTTGGATCTGGAGCATGGCAATGCCATTGTCATCGTATCCTTCACATGATGGTGGTGATGGTAGCAGTGAGCCACATGGAGAGCCTGTGGCGTGTCCCACCAAAGGGAGGTGTCCCAGGTGACTGTCCCCAGGGAGGCAGGCAGAGAGATGGTGTCCCCAAGCTTGCAGGAAGCAGTCTTGTCCCAAATCAGGCAGACCCTTTTCCCAAGGAGCCAGAAGTTGTTCCCAAGCAGCAGAAGTAATCTTGTCCCCCAGTAGAAACCTGGGGATCCCTGTCCCCAGGAAAGTGATCTTGTCCCCAGGGAGCCAGAAGATGTCCCCAGAGAGCCAAAAGATGTTCCCAAGCGGGCAGGAGAGGCAGAAGGGTTTGTTGTCCCCAAGCAGGCAAAAGAACAATCAGAAAGCAAATCCTGTCCCCAAGCAGGCAGCAAGGAGCAGTAAGAGTTGCAGCGAGTGTGAGATGGCAGCACAGAGGGTGACAATGCCAGAGGGTGGCAGTGTCCTGTGAGGTGACAATGCCTTTTGGGGTGATGATATCCAATAGGGTGATGTCCCCATGGGGTGATGATGCCCCTTGGGGTGATGATGTTCCATAGGGTGATGTCTTCCAGGGTGGTGTCTCCATGGGGTTACAATGTCCCATAGGATTACATTCCCATGGAGTGATGATGCAGCATAGAGTGATGACATCTTGCAGGATAACATCCCCAGAGGTTGGTGATGCCTCTAGGCATTGATGATGCCCCACAGGGTGACATCCTTATGGGGTGACGATGCCTTGCAGAGTAGTCAAATGCCTTGCAGATCAGTGATGTCCCTTGGGGTGATGATGCCCATGGGGTGATATCTCCTTGGGGTGACCATGCTCCAAGGACACAAAGGAGGGAGCCAACACAGGCACATCCAACTAGGAACACCATCACCACGTGCCCTTGTCCCCAAGAAACCAGTTGTCCCTTCCAAGCCAGGACAGAGCCAGCTTGAACAGCTGGGTGCCATGTGGTGGTGGCTGTGTGGTGTCCCTGTGACTTGTGACTTACTCCTGGAACAAATGCCAGCAAGGATCTGTCTGCTCTGTTTGGCTCTGTCTCTGCCCTGTGCACCCATGGGTGCCAGCCTCTGCCAACTATCCCGAGCCCTACCCTGGGCTCCCATCCATGGGGACGCACTCTGGCAAAGGTACTGCCCTTGTGCCTGCCTGATAATTTGGGGTCATTCAAAATTTATTCAATTCAATGCAAGCAACAGCCAAAGGGCTGGAGGTTGTGTCTGTTCCTGCTGCAGGATGGGAGGGAGAGAGTAAAGAGATGGGGACCAGGGGATATTTGCAGGGACATGTCCAGAGGCAGCAGTTGGCGTGGTGGGGCCATGGGGTCCCTGGTTCTGGGGAAGGAGAAAGCTAAAAGGCAGAACTGACCGGCTGGGGTCCATCGACAGCGGGTGGAGAGGCTTCCTGAGGGATCACCCCCTTCCTCTTCTCCTCCTCCTCCTCAGACCTGCAGCATGGAGATGATACTCAGCCTCCCAAAGGATGGAGGTGGGAATAGAGGGAACCCCCAAAATCAGTACAGCAGTGGATTTGGGAGTTAGGGGCATGAATCTGGGGCATTTGTGCTTTCTTCCAAGAATTAAAAGCCCCATAAAGGAGCAAAGCTGTAGGTCAGCTGCTTTGCTTGCATGGCTTTTGCTCAGAAAAGGTGTACTGCTAAAAATTCCCTGCTTCAAGGGAAGGTGCTGCCATTTGGAGACATGGGAACGACACCCCTTACCCTGCCTGCAGCTCTGCATCCAGATCCAGACGATGTTGGGGAGCAGTGTCGTGCACCACATCCTTCTCCCGCAGTGTCCGCCCACCCATGAGCTCCAGCTGCCAGGGAAGAGGATACGGAAATCAGTGGGAATCCAGCCACATCCTCTTGCCACCCAAGAGGGCCACCACCTCACCGTCGTCAGCTTCCTCAGGGCAGCGATGCGCTCCTCCCACGTGGCTGTGGACTTCTCAAAGGCTTCGTGTCGTTTCAGCAACTTCTCCACCGCATCCACCGTCTGCCCATAGTCGCTGCTGGCCAGGTATGGCTCCTGTGCCATCAGCCACGACTCAGCCACTGAGGCATCCCGGGAGAACTGGCACACCTCCAGCACTGCAGGAAAGGGACAGCGTTCAGCACCCAGGCAGGGGGACTCCAAAAATCGCACGGCCCATCCAAACCATCACCGCACTCACACAGCTGCAGCCGGTCCCACCGCTGCTGCCACAGCTCCATCATGGCCTCCTTCTTGTCCAGCAGCTCCATCAGCTTTGCTTTGATCTGCAAGGGGTGGCTGTCATGAGGAGGTCCTTTCCTACTGTCTCCCCACCCCCAAGGGGCTGTCACCCACCTCAGGTGATTCCCGGTGTTTGCGCTGCAGCAGCTTCTTGCCTAGTTCAGTGCAGGCAGCAAAGCTCTTGTCACGGGCATCTATCTCAGCGCGGATGCCTTGGTGGTACTTCATGAGCAGCTCCACCGAGGAAACGTCCCTGGGGGGAGAGGTTGGGAATGGAGTTGTTGAGGATATGGAATTGTCAGGGATATGGAGGCGTCAGGGGGATGGAAACATGAGGCATGGAGATGCTGGGGATACAGAACTGTCAAGGGGATGGAAGTGTTGAGGATGGAGCTGTTGGGAGTGACGGTGTTGGGAAACAGAGATTTTGTGGGTCAAAGATTTGTGGGGATGGAGAAGAGGAGCAGAGATGTTGGGGATGGAGGTATAGGAGGCTGGAGTTGGTTGGATGGAGACAGTGGGAAATGGAGATGTTGGAGGACAGAGATGTCAGGAGATGGAGATGTCAAGGGATGGAAGTGAGGGATGGAGATGTTGGGGATGGAGACGTCAGAGGACAGGTATGTAGGAAGAAGAGATTTGGGGGAAGAGACGGAGATGAAGGACGGAGATGTGGGAAATGGTGGTGTTGAGAGTTGATGGGGATGTTGAGGTTGTGCCATACTGGTGAGCAGGGAAGTGGGACCCCCACCCATCTGCTCCTACCTGGGTTTCTCCTGCGTCTGGATCTGCCGCACAGTGCTCTCCATCCAGGAGAGCAGGTCACGCGCCATGCTGAAGAAGTGGAACTTGTCAGCTGTGTCCACCAGTTGTGCCCGGCGTCCGCTGCATGCTTCCAGCAGTGCCTGCAGCGCCCGTGCCACCTCCTGCTCCTGCTGCTGGATGCTGACTGCCTTCTCCCCAGCATAGGCAGTTTGCAGGCGAGCTGCCACCTCTCGAAACTGCTTCACCTGCCCCTCCAGCAGCTGGAGGTCACGCTCGAAGGCGCTGTGCATGCGATGGAAAGCCTCCACTGAACCCGAGTCATCGCCCAGGTCCTGGGGCAGCTCCTGGTGGCGGGCAGCAATGAGGGCCAGCAGCTCAGAGCCATCATAGAAGTACTTGTGCAGATCATAGGAGGTGGCCAGCAATTGCATGCGTGTGTCAATCAGCTCCAGGAGGTCGGCCCAGCTCTCATTCAGTCCGTCTTTCCACTCAGCCATGGTGGCAGCCTCGGCATGACCCGCATCGATGAGGTCCTCGATGGTCAGGTTGACCTGGTCCACACGTTCCTGCCCTACGCTGCCTGTTTCCCGTGCAAACTCCCGAAACGTATCCCTCAGCATCTGAGGTGGGAAAGAAAAGATGGGTTCACCACCCAAAAATGACCCACTGTCATCATCTCCATCAACATCATCACCATCACTACCCTCTTCGATGCAATCATCACCATCATCTCCATCACCACTAAGATCTCCATCATCATCTCCATCTCCACCACCATCTTCACCACCATCACCATCTCCAACTCTAACTCCAAGTTCAACTCCATCTCCACCACTGACTCCATCTCTACCATCACTATCACTTTCATCACCATTTCCTCCACCATCTCCATCACCACCACCATCTCTATCTCTACCTCCATCACCACCATCCCCATTTTCATCCTCATCACCACGTCCACCACCATGCGTGTGCCAGTGGGCTCACCGTGACATGGTCCAGGTCCTGCCCCAGCTCCTGGGAGGAGGCTACCACATCACGCTCAGCAATCCACTGCTCCAGGTCCTCCACCTCACGCTTCAGCTGGAAGAGGTGGCACATGTTCTCCAAGCGCCGCCGGCGCTCCTCGGCCGCCTCCTTCAGCCCCGCGTAATACTTGTCCACCTGGCCCTGCAGCCGGATGATCTGCTCCCTGCGTGGCCCCAGGCACACAGACATCTCAGTTTGCACCCAAACCTCCCTGTCTTGCCATGTCTCAGGGCTTATTTTCAGGAGGACCCCCCGTAGATGGGCTCCCCACGTCCCTCCACTGCTACCACTCAGGGCAGTGGCTGTCACTGAAGTGCCATCTCATCCAGGCACTGCAGCCATGGGGCTGTCCCCAGGATGGGGACATGCATGGTTACACCTACCCCTCAGGGTGGCCAGCAGAGAGCAGCTGCTGAGCCCTCCCCGCCAGCTCCTTGATTGTCTGCCCATAGTCCTCAATGGAGCGCTGCTGCCTCACGTGTCTCTTCAGCATCACCAAACCACTTTCCTCGTCCTGCAGCAGGAAGGACACCACAAAAAGTCAATATATGCAATGGCCAAGAGATGGTGACCAAGGTTCAACCCTAATGCCCATCCTGTGGGATTGTCCCACCTCCCTCCAGTGCAGAAGGAAGCAATGGTGGGCTCATCATAGCATGGTGTGGTATGCAATGGATGGTACAGAATGGTGTTTAATGGCACGGAATGCAATGTAATGGCATGTAATGACATACAATGGCATGTGATAGGGTAGTGTGTGTTGGGATGGGATGGCACATCATGGCATGTGTTAGTGTGTAAAGGCACACACAACATGAGGTTGGACAGTGTAATTGCGTGGTATAGGATGTCATAGCATGGCATGAGATGGCATATAATGGCATCAGGTGCTATGACATGGCAAAGCATGGCACAGCATGGGATGACTTTTGATGGCACAAGATGACCTGTAACAACATGGTGATGGTGGGGCATGGGATGATGTGTAATGGATGGCATAGTGTGCCAATAACAGCAGTCCATGGGACAGCATGCAGTAGCACAGCATGATATTCCATAAGACAGCAAATAATGGCACAGCATGGCATGGCATGGCATGACTCTAGAGTCATCTCATGGTATAGGATAGTTTGTAATGGCATAGCATGGCATGGGATGGCATGTATTGACATGGGATGGACAGATGGCACACAATGACACATGGCCATGAGATGGCATGTCCTGGCACAGCATGGGACGATATGGCACGGGACGGGGCAAAATAACACAGAATGGCATGCAGGACATTGCATGGCACAGAGTCCTCAGAAGACAACACAGAACCACCCTCACCTTTGGCTTCTCCTCATCTCCCATGAAAAGCTCCTGCTCGCTGACCCACATCTCAGCCTCGCCAGCATCCAGGTAGTACTGTTGGGCTTCGCTGGCCTCCTGCAGCCTCTGCTGCCGAGCGGCCACTTCTTCCCTCAGCGCCTCCCACTGTGCCCGCAACTCCCGTGCCTTCTCTGCCAGCTCCGGGCACGGTCCTTCAGCTGCCGCCTCACCACGTTCCAGCACCTCGGCCAGGCGGGGGGCATGGCCCTGCAGCTCCTTCTGAAGGGTCTGCAGTGGGGTCAGAATCTTATGGGCTGTCTGCGGTACCGCACACCCATGGGTAGGACAGCGTGTGCCATGGCGGCATACTCACCTCATTCCTCTTGGCCAAACGCTGCAGGCTCTGGAGGTTGGTGCCGTGCTCAGTTGACCTGGCCCATAGCATCCTCTCCTGCACCCATAACTGAGGACGAGAGCACCTGCTCAGCACTGTCCCCAGCCCTGCAGCCCCAGCCCTGCAGCCCCAGCCCTGCAGCCTCTGCTGCCACCATGGTGCTCACCATCTCGTCCTCTAGGTCCCTCCCCAGCTGGTACATCGCCTTGGAGGTTTCCAGCTCCTTCCTCTTCTTCCCCAGTGGCTTCAGCAGGTCAAGGAATCGCTGCTGGAGCTTCTCCTCCTGCCCATCAGGCTCTGGTGCGACCCCAGCAAGCGGTGCTTTCAGCTCCGTCAGCTCCTCCTGTCGTGCCGCCACCTGCTCCTCCAGCCGCTGGGAGGGGAATGCCATCAGGTCCCACGTCTGAGGTCATTCCTCATGCCAGAACACCCCATCCCCATGTCACGCACCGTCAGCCTCTTGAGCAGTAAGTTGGCCCCGGTGAGGTCCTTGGCACGCTCCGTGTTGTGCAGCTCGCTCTCTACCTGCCCCAGCCAGCGCTCCAGATCACTGTAGCTCTGGGCGTACAGCTCAGTGCGGTTGGCCTCGAAGAGCTGCTGGCCCTTCTCCTTGGCAGCGTCATGTAGCCTGTTCCACAGTGCCTGCAGCTCGTCCAGCTTCCGGCCCACCACTGCACCGTACTGTGGTTTGCAGCTCGCCAGCTCCATGCCCTCCTATTGGCACAGTGGTGAGCTCAGTGAGCACCACATCCCCAAGCCATGGCACGTAGCCACCTCGCCTCACCAGGACTCACCGCTTTGATCTTCTCCAGCCATGCCTCATTGGCTGCCAGCTCTGCCATAAAGGCTTGGTGCTTCTGCCACTTGCCATGCAGACCACGTGCATCTCCATAAGATGCATCCTGCACTGTTAGCATCTTCTCATCCACCCAAGCAGCGAGCTGCAGGCAGGGTGAGTGTGTCATGGCTCGGCCATGGGTACCCCACTGTGCCACCAACCATGCTGCTCACTCACCTCCCGGCAGCTCTGCAGGAAGCTCTGCAGCTTGTGGTTGTCCTGCAGCAAGCCCGCTGCCTCCCGTGCCTTGGCCACATTCACCTGGTGCCTGGCATGGGGACACAAGCACAGACATCACTCCACTGCCACACCACAGTGCTGCCCATCGGCCCCTTGCCCACTCACCGCTCCTGCAGGGCCTGGTTCTTCTCACTGATCTTCTCAGAGAAGATGTTCCCCTCTGACACGAGCTTGGAGCCAGTGGTCACCACACTAGGGATTTTTTCAGCGCTGCTCTCCATGGAGGCATGGAAATCCTCAAAGCGGCGCAGGGCAGCTGTGGAACCCTCCAGCGTGGGGGGTAGCTCCAGGTGGGCCAGTGTGTATTCCTAGAGGGCACAGGGGGCTCAGCATCCTAACAGGGTGCCATCAGCCCTCCCCTGTCATGGGGAGGGACACCGTGCCCATTGGGGCTCTCCACTGCAAGGACCTAACCCCAAGAGCACGGACCCAATCTCAAGAGCATGGCACAGTCACAGCCTGGATGCTTTCCACCGCTTGCACCCAACCCCAAATGCATGGCACAACCATGCTCTAGGTGCTCTCTGCTGCATGGATCCAACCCCAAGAGCATGAACCCAACCACAAGAGTACAACATAACTGTGCCCTTAGTGTGCTCCACCACACGGACCCAACCCCAGAAGCATGGACCCAACCCCAAATGCATGGCATAACCATGCTGTGGGTGCTCTTTGCTGCATGGATCCAACCCCAAGAGCATGGCACAATCATGCCCTCTCCATCACATGGACCCAACCTTAAGTGCATGGTACAACCATCCCCTGAGCGTGGATCCAACCTCAAGCACACAAACCTAACTGCAAGAGCATGGCACAGCTGTGCCCTGGGTGCTCTCTACCACACATCCCCACATCCCTCACCCACCTGGTTGGCAAGGAGAATCTCAGCCTGTTTGGCGTCACGCAGGAACTCTTGGAAGCCCAAGCACTGGGCAAGGAAGCGCTGCCGGGCATCCCACATCTTGTGCAGGGCTCCCCAGCCTGCCTCCACACCCCGCAGCCGCTCCCGCAGCTGCTCATACTCGGGGTCCTCCTGATTGCTTGTCACCCGCTTGCCTGCCTCCAGCAGCGCCGTGAAGGCAGCTGCATGCCCCTCGGCATCCTCATGGGCAGCCGCGTGCTTCCGCAGCAGCTCTTCTGCCTCACCCACCGAAGTCGGTACCTCTTCGGTGGCTGCCACAGCTTTCTGCGCCCTAAAGAGCCACGCTTGGAAGTCATCCAGGTCCTGCAGGAAACTCTGCAGCTGCCCGACTTCTCCCAGCGCAGCCGCTCGGTCCCGCAGGGCACCCTGCAGCCCGTCCATGGCATCCTGCGCCCCTGCCAGCCGCCCTGCCGTGTCCTCGGCCAACTCAGGGCGCTCCTGGGCCAGGAGGGCGGCTTGCGGACGCAGGGCATCCAGGCGGCTCTCGGCCGCTGTCAGCTCACGTTCGATGCCGTACAGCTTGCGCTGGGTGGCCAGGACGCCGGCCAGGTCACGGCCAAGCTCCCTCGTTGACTCCACCACCCGCGTCTTGCTCAGCAGCCAGGCACGTGTCTCCTCGCACTCCAGTTGGAAGCTGAGCAGGTTGAACGCTGAGTCCACTGCTGCACGCCGCTGGGACACCAGCTCCCGAAAATGGTCCCACCTGCATGGACAGAAGGGTCAAGGTGGGGGTGCATGGTGGGGTGAGGTGCCCTTGCTGCTCCGGGACCTACCGCTCATTGAGCTGCTGCTGGCACTGCCGGACCTGTGGGCTGTGCGGGTGGCCGCTCTCCAGCAGCCCATCAGCTGAGTGGTTGACAGCGTCGATTTGAGAAGCCACGCCAGCCATTTTCTGCTCCAGCCCATCCAGCCTGCGGGAAGTCAGGCTGAGAACGGGCTGCATCTCGTGACACCGTGCTAAGAACTAGCCAGAGCTCATTGCATGGGGCTGAGAGCTGGCTGCAGACTGTGACACTGTGCAAGATGGACTGCTCAGAGCTCGTGACATCGGGCTATGAATTGACCAAATCTCATGGCACTAGGCTGAGAACTGGTCAGACCTCATGACATCAAGCTGAGAACTGGCCAGCACTCATGACACCAGGCTGAGAACTGGCCACATCTCTTGACACTGGGCTGAGTACCAGAGAGAACTCATGGCACCAGGCTGAGAACTGGCCAGAGTTCACGATAGCAAGTGGCAGCTTATCCCTACCTGTGCTTCACCACATCCAGGTCCTCCAGCGTGTTGGGCACCTCCAGCTTATCCAGCCACCGTTCCTTGGCACCCATCCAGAGCTGGCAGGCTTCACTCTCTCCAAAAACAGTGTAGAGGTTGAGGGCATCCTGCAGCCTTCGGCCACGCGTCTTGGCCAGCGTGCTCACCTCGTGGTGCAGCTCCTGCAACGCTGCCAGGCGGTTGTGCGCCTCGGGGCCAGCCCGCAGCTCTGGTGGGAAGCCCTCTGCTTGGTGACCCAAGCGCTCCAGGAGCTGCTGGGCAGCCGCCAGCTCCTCCAGCAGCTCCTGGTGCTCCCGCAGCAGTGCCTGCGTGTGGACTTCATCGTGACCCAGCTCCTCGCTGGCCGCTCGCTGCCGAGCCTCCGCCAGAACCTCTGCCAGCTCTTCAGCCTCTGCCTGGAACTGGAAGAAGCCCTCGGCCTCCCGCAGCCCACGGCGGCGGAAGGTCACCAGCTCCTGCAGCTGGTCCCACAGTACCCGCACGGCAGCTGCCCGGTCCCGCAGCCGCCCAGCCTCACGCCCTGCTGCTGCCAGCTGCTCAGCCATCACCAGTGCCTTCTCCAGTCGGGCTCCCTGTGCCTCCAGCTCAGCCTCCAGTGCAGTGTGACGGCGTCGCAGCAGCAGCACACCCGCCAGGTCTTTGCCGTAGTCCAGCGCTGAGTAGATCTGCTCCTGCTCCTTGATCCAGCTCTCTGCCTCGTCCAGCTCCTGCAGACACTGCCAGACAGCCCGGGACTGCTCCAGCAGGGCTTTGCGCCTCGCCGCCAGTGCCTGCAGCTCCTGCCGGCACATCTCCAGGTGGTTCACGCGGTCTCGGATCACTCTGGGGTCGCAGGGGCGGTAGCCTGGCCAGGGAGCAGCAGGGGCATGCATTAGTGTGGATCCTTGGGTGTGCTGCAGAAAGCATCCTGGTTCACTCAACCCCGAAGACACTTGTGCATGCACCTTTGGAGCAACCCTACGTTTGGAGGACTCGACTATTGAAACATAAGAAACTTGGAGCACCCAAACACTGGAGTACCCACCCTTGGAGAACTCAACCCTTTGACTGCTCATCCCTTGGAATGCCCAATCAGTAGAGACACTTGGAGCACCCATCCCTGAAGCAACCCTACCTCTGGAGGACCCAAACCCTTGAGCACCCTCCCTTTGAATGCCAAACCATTGGAGCATCCAACCATTAGAGATCCTTGGAGTGACCAATCATTGGAGCACCCACCCTTAGAAAATCCAACACTGGTGCAGCCAATCCTTGGAGTGTCCCATCACTGGAGACACTTGGAGCAATCATGCCTGGAGCAACCTTGTCTTTAGAACACCCAACCACAGAGCATCCACCCTTAGAAAATCCAACACTTAGAGTACCCAGCCACTGGAGACCGTTGGAGCACCCAATCTTTGGAGAACCCAACCCTGATGCATCTCACCCACAGAGTGCCCAACCCCTGGAACCCCCAAAACTTTGGAGCATCCAACCCCTTGGAGCACACCTACCCTCAGCATCAGCAAATCGGAGGGCAGCAGCACTGATGGCCCGCACCTTTTCTGCCTGCAGGGCCATGTCACCTTCCAGCAGCCGGTGGGTCTCCAGAAGCTCCTCCACCTCAAGGAGGTGCTTCCCAGATTCAGACGAGGCCAGCTGCACCTGTGAGATACTTGGAGGTCACCTGCAGGCTATGAGCAGGTGGTGAGCACTCCAGCACCAACATTATCTCTGTGGTGCATTCACCCAACGATGGATGCATCTCCTGTACCCATCACTGCCTGGCATAACGTGGGGCTGGTAGCTGCATGCTCCAAGCACCACATCTTTCTCCAGAAACCCAAACACCCCATAACCACCTCTGACTCCCCAAGAAGCCGCACTGATCCCCTGTGTTGGTGGGACCAAGGCACCATACTCATGCTGTCTCCGAATCTCTTCCATCCACCTGCAGCTCACCTTGACCTCATCCATCCAGTTGATGCTGTGCAGCATCTCCTGAAAGAGGTGCTGAAGGGTGAGGTTCATCTCAAGGCGCTGCCGCCGGTTGCGCAGCAGCTCCTGGAGCTGCTCCCAGAGCCTCAGGATGTTGTCCTTGCGCCCCCTGATGCGTTTGATGTCATGGTAGCCTTCCCTCTCCAGCTCCTTCGCCACTGCATCAATGGCCTGCACCCGTTCCTTGTAGGCAGCTGTGTCTGTCTCAATGGCCTCGTGTTTCTTCTTGGCCGCCTCCACTGCTGTCAGGTCTTGGCCAAAGTTATCCTGTTAGGAGCAAAGCCAGCAGTGAGGCAATGTCGGGGTGCCCCAATCCCCACAGAGGTGCTTGCTGGCCCCACCTGTGCCACCAGGCGTTGGTTCTCACTCAGCCAGGCCTCCCGCATGGCTGCTTTCCGGTCAAAGCGCCGTGCCAACTGCTCCAGCTTCTCCTGCCGGATGAGCTCATTGCGCAGCGCCAACTCCCGCTCGTGCTCCGCTTTCTCCAGCTTCTCCCATGCCTGGGAAAAGGCAGAGTTGGGTGGTGGGACACATGTTCTGCGTCCCACTGGCTATGCCTTGCTCTGTTGGTAAGCCCCAGTGTGCCACAAGGGTGGGGGAATATTGATGCGGAAACCCAATCTGCTCCTAGATGGACCCACACTGCACTGCACTGATGGACTTAATCCAACCCAAGATGGACCCAATCCACCTTAGGATGAAACCCAAGTGCCCCAAGACCTTAACTACCCCAAAGGTAGACCCAACTTCAATTCAACCTGCTCCAGGAGGAAACCCAAATAACCCAAGTTCTTAATTAAGAATTGGCTCCAAGATGAACCTAACCTGCCCGAAGATGGGCCCACACTGTTTCAAGATGAAGCCCAAATTCCCCCAGACCTGTACAACTCCAGTATGGATCCAACCTGCCCCAACATGGACCCAAAATGCCCCAGAACCTAACTGCTTCAGGGTGGACCCAACTTGACCCAGGTGCACAAACATCCAGGATGGACACAACCTGCAACAAGGTGGACCTCACCTGGCCTAAGACCCTAAATGCTACAGGATGGACTGAAAATGCCCCAGAATGGACGCAGTATGCCCCAAGACCAAGCGTAAATGCCCCAAGACCTGAACTGCTCCAACACAGACCCAATCTACCCCAAGATCTGAAATGCCCTCAGATGGACCCAAACTACCCCAAGTTCACACATGCCAAGATGAACCCAACCTACCCCAAGGTCGACACAACCAGACTCAGGGGCTTAAATTACCCCCCAATGGACCCAATTACACCATGTGCCTCCATACCCGGTTGATGTCACAGACCAGACGCCCCTCTTGTGGTGTGTAGACACGCTGGTTGTTGGCTCGCATCCGAGACTGGATGGTGAAGAGCAGCACCTCCAGGTTGCCCTTCTCCTGAAACCTGACCCAGCGAGAGCTCAGCCTGTGCCACCCATAGGTGCTCAACACAGGCGGGAGGTGTGGGGAGAAATGCTTACTTGGGTGGTTTCTCCACCGTGCGGTAGGTGCTGAAGGCCTGCAGCTGGTGCTGCACACCGGCCAACGAGTTGGCAAAGCTGCGGCTGTTGAGGGAGACGATGGTCTGCTCGATCCAGGTGAGCAGGTTGGAGGCCAAGCCCCCATAGCCCTCGATCATCCGCTTGGTCTCCTTGGCATGCTCAATGACCTATGGCACAGCCGGAGGTGAGCATGGGGCATCTCGGCACTCACCAGTGCCATGCCATGCCATGCCATCCCAACTCATCATCATTCTGACCTTGCCCAGCCTCCTGCCCTTCACCTCCAGTTTCTTCATCTCGGAGAAGTAATGGTAGAAGGCCACCACGTAGGTGATGATGGACTTCTCATCGGGGTTCTCCGTGAACACATCTGTGCCGTGGCAGAGAGGTGTCAGCCCCAACCAGCACAATGGGGTGCCACCATCCCACGGTGTTGATGGGTCCCCACATTCACATCCCACCCAGAGCCACCTCTGGGGTCATTCCACCTCTATCCGTCCATGGGTATGTTCCAAGGGGAATAAAAATGAGGCAGAGGGACTCACCTTCAGGGTCGAGGAGTGGAGTGATGCCCAGGTGCCGCTCGGCCACGCTGAAGGCATGCTCCAGATTGTGCCGGGCATTGGACTTGGTCAGAGTTTTGAAGTCAAACAGCTCAGGCCTGGGGACAGAGAGCACAGAGACACGTTGACACTGCTGATACTGCTGACACTGTACCTCTGCCAGTGGCTGTGCCATGTACCTGTGCTTGTGGATGAGGGCGTTGAAGGCCAGTCCGTCCTTCCAGCTGGAGGTGAAGTTGGTGACATTCACGTGGGGGTAGCTATGGCAAGGACAACGGGGTGTCACCATCACCCTGTGTGCGCCCCTGGGCCCCAAGGCCACTCACTCCACCTCCACCTACCCTGCTGTCTTCATTTGGCACCAGAGCAGCAGCGCGTCCCTGGGTGAGCGTGTCTCTGGACCCTCCTTCATCTCCTTGATGACATCTTGCACCTGTGGGACAGATTGAAAACCCAAGATGGTGGAGAATGACTCCTGCTGGGGCACTGAGTCTGTGGGTGCCACCTGCCCATGGTACCTGGAAGCGGAGGATGATGGTCCAGATGAGGCCGAGGATGAGCCGGTGGTTGCCATCCACAATGTCATGGGAGCCCATGTTTTCCAGGTGCACCTGCTTCTCCTTCAGGAACTGCAGTGCCTTGTCCACGTTCTCCAGGCAGTGGATGCGCATCCGGCCCTTGGTGGGCTTGGGCTGGGACACAATAGGACTCAGTGTCCTGCCCTCACTGCCTGGCATGCCACTGCCATGCCCAACAGTCATGGAGCAGTACAAGGGGTGGCTTGGCATGGCATGCTATGGCACGGGATGATAGCACAGCAGGGAATGAAACATCGTGGTATGGAACGACGTAGCATGAGATGGCTTGGCATGGGTTGACATGGTACAGCATAAGATGGGATAGCAAGGCATAGCATGGGATTATACAGCATGGAATAGCACAGGATAGCATGGAAGAATATGGCATTGCATAGGATGGCATGGCATAGGATGAGATGGCATGGAAGGGCATGGAATGGCACGAGGTATGGGATGGCACGAAAAGGTATAGCATAGGACAGCATGGCATGGCATGGTTTGGCATGGCATGGGATGGTATATAATAGAGTGAGATGGCACCAGATGGCACAGGATGGGATGGCGTGGGATGGGATAGCATGAGACAGCATAGCATGGCATGGCAAGGGATGCTATGGGATGGCACGAGTGGAATGGCATGAGATAGCACAGGAGGAAACAGATCAATGTGGTATGGAATGGCATGGGATGGGATGGCATGGCATAGCATAATACAGAATAAGGTTGCACACACAGCATGGGATGTCATGGCACGTGATGGTGTGGGATGGAACAGCATGGGTTGAGACGGCATGGCGCAGGTATGCAATGGCACAGCATGGCACATCACAGCACGGCAAGGCATGAGATGGCACAGGATGGACCCCAGGGTTTCTATCTGGAGGGCACTCATACCAGCATCTCTTTGGACAGCACCTCCAGCAGTTTGATGAGCATCCGCCCGTCCCGGAGGTCCAGGTAGAGGTCGGAGATGCGGCAGGTGACGCAAGCCAAGTGCAGGTTCACCCACTTGGTAAAGGTCTTCTTCTGCACTGCCTCCCGCTCATCTGCAACAGGAGCAACCACAGTGACACCATCTCCAACTCATAGTGTCAGGGACTGCAGTGACCCAAACCCAGCCCCATACCTGCCAGCGCTTTGATGCGGGAGCGCTCAAAGAGTCGTGCTGAACTGTTGTCGTTGTCCAACTCATCGTCGGAGGCATCCCAGTGGCTGTAGGACTGCTGCAGCTCCAGATGGTCATAGTCATTCTCGGAGGTCATGGTCCCGGTGTCCCGCGGCTGTGCGGCCGGCGGCTACGGGGAAAGGACCCTTGCTGGGCAATGTGGGCACAGGCATGACCACCCCGCTGTGCTGTAGGATTTGCGGCTAAGACCTGCCGCTTAATCAGCTCAGTGGGATTTAGCGTTGCTCCCAGGTGTTTGGGCACTCCCCACGGCTGTCACCCCATATGGATCCCACAGCATCCATGGGTGGCACTCAAAGGGACTGGCACTGACCCACGCCTGCGCTGGAGGGGCTTTCGGCAGACAGCAGGCAACAGCTGCTGGTTCAGGGGGGACGGGGAGGGGACAACCGCCCTCGGGGACATTTGAGCCACAGATAGGACTGGCCGGTATCTAAAAATGCTGCCAGCAGCTGCCGGCCGCCTGGGGCCCCTGAAGGGTGTGGGGAGCCAGGCTGGGGGCTGCCACCTCCAACACCCAAAATCCTCACACCTTCTTTGTGCTGTGGGGTTTGCCAAGCTGGGATTCAGCACCCGTGGGGATGCATGGCACACTGAGGTGTCCCCCATGGGGCGACCCCAGGGGCTATGACGGTTTCGGGGGGAAAACACCTGCGCACAGAAGGGGGATTATCGGGGCCAGCCAGGCTGGGTGGGTGCTGTGCTGTGCCCTAATCTTAGTGGTGCACGTGTGAGCAGGGCTAGGGAGGGGTGTACATGCAGAGCGTGCAGGAGCAGAGCACACAGCATCCCAGCACCGTGCCAGACAGAACCCCAAAACCACTCCAACCGTGGGGAATCCCAAATGTGGGAACCCTCCCGCATGTGCTGCTGAGCAGTGCCATGCCTCTGCGCCTGCCATGCCAGCGGGCAGCCAGCATCCTCCTGCTCCTCCCCAATGCTGGCAAGGCCCCCAGCGTGCCGCCAGCGCACACTGGCAGCGTAGGGAGCGCCGACCCTTCAAATCCGCCTCTGCCACCACCAGGAAAACGCAGAGCCCAGTGGGGTCGCAGTGTAGGGCATCCCACTTGCCCCCTGCTGTCTTCCCCGTCTGCTGCTCGGTGCGGTGAATCAGCACTTCCCGGGGCTGGCACTGAGCTGCCACCACAGTGCCCATACTGTGCCCAGTGATCCCGCTGCTCAGTGCCCTGAGCCCTTGCCCCACTCTGTGGGTATCCCAGACATGACTACGGGAGAACAGCAGCGTGTGGGATCCCCATTCACCCCAAAAAAGTGAGTCTATGGGGTGCCAACGCTTAGTGTCATCCCAACTCTCCATGCCCAAAGTGGGTTCAGAGCACTGCTGTGGGCAGAGGGATGGCACTGTGTCCATCGGTAGCACTGCAAAGCACGGCACAGAATGGCACGGCACGGCACAGAATGGCACGGCACGGAACGGAACGGCACGGCACAGCTCCCCGGGGCCCCACGATGCCTGATGCCTGTCCCTGTCCCGCTGTCCCTGCAGTCGCCCGCCGGTGGCACACACACGTGCTGCCACGCTGCGTGCGTTGCCAGCTATAAATAGGCCTGGGCTCAGCCCCACTCTTCTCTAGAGCGGGGGCACCCACAACCCAGTAGAGCCATATGGGACCCCAAAACTCCGCAGCAACATCCCACAGTGGGGCTGTTCACTGTGGCACCGAACCCAGCACAGCAGCGGTGAGCACGGAGAAAAACACCCCACTTTGAGCGAAACCGAACCCAAAGGATTGGGACACCCCGATCGGGGCACCTCAAATGGCAGCACCCCGAACTGGAACACCCTACACTGGGGCACCCCGCATCGGGACGCCCCACATCGGGACACCCCATGGCTGCATCCTCCCCCAAGGACACCGAGCGGAACCCCACTCCCCATTGGGTGTCCCCAGGGCGCTCGGGGACGTCCATCCCCACCGCCCCCTCGGTCGTCCCCCCGCCCCCCGGTGCCGCACTCACCTGCGCGGGGCGGCGGCGGTTGCGGGAGGGCGAAGGGCGGCGGGTGCGGGCGCGGAGCGGGGCGGGGGGAGCGGAGCCGCCGGGCGCCGCGCTATAAATACCATTATCGGAGCGCGCAGGGACATTCCTGCCCGGGGCCCGGCGCTGCCCGCCCCGATAGCCCCGCTCCCCCCCAGGGCCGGGCGGAGGCGGGCGGGGACGCGGTGCCGCCCCGCAATGCAGCACAGCGGCCCCCCCCGGCCAGCGCCGCCGGTACCGGGAGCGCCGGGAGGGTGGAGCGGGGCGGGGAGAGAGGAGATGAAGGGGGGTGAGGAGCGTTCCCAGTTAGCGATGGGTGACCCCAGCCGGTCCTAGGGGTCCCCCACTTAGGATTAGGTGAGCCCCCAATAGCTTTGCGTGTCTCCCGGTTAGTGCTGGCTGCCCCCGGTTGGCCCTTGTTACCACCCACCCCCCCGTATGGCTGGGGAGTCCCAGTGAATCCTATTATTCCCCCCAGTTAGCGCTAGGCGTCCCCCCCTTTAGCATTGGCCACCCCCTCACTTAGCACTGGGTGCTCCTAAGTAGTGCCGGGTGCCCCGAATTAGCCTTAGGTGAGCCCCTCAGTTAGGGCTGCCCCCCAATAGCCTTGGGAGAGCTGAGTGTCCTCAGTTGGTGCTGGGTGACCCCACTTTGTCCTGGGTGACCCCAATTAACCATGGGTGACTCCCCACTTAGCTCTGAGTGACACACATTGGCCTTAGGTTCCCCCAGGTGAGTGCTGGGTGCCCCCATTAAGCGCTGGGTGCCCCTAACTAGCCCTAGGAGCCCCTAATTAGCCCTAGGAACCCACTCACTTAAATTTAGATGCCCACCCAACGGCCTTCAGTGCCCCTTAAATTATTCCTGGGTGCCCCCCGTTGGTCCTGAGTGCTGCCCTGGGTGCCGGGTGAGCCCAACCAGTCCTAGAAGCCGCATAGTGCCAGCTACCCCAAATGGCAGCTCCGAGTGCCCCCACCACCCCTCATTAACTCAAGCTGCCCCCATTCAGCCCTGCGCGCTCGGGGGAGGGAGGGCGTGGTTACAATTAGCCACGCCCCCACCAGAGCAAAGCCCCGCCCCCGTGCGCGGCGGAAGTCTCGCGAGAAGCGGCGCGATGTGCGGGGGCTGCGTGGGCACGGAATACCCCGAGCGGGTGGGTGGGCCGCGGCCGGGCCGGATGGGGGGAGGGGGAGCCGGGGAGCACCGAAACCCGGTGCCGAGCCGTGCGGTGTCCCCTCGTAGGGCACCACGTGCCTGGAGGGCGGCTCCTTCCTCCTTAACTTCGTGGGGTGCGCGCGGTGCGGCCGCCGGGACTTCGTACTGCTGGGCAACCGCGCCGCCGGCCTGCACGGCGACGATGAGATCATCACCTACGACCGTGAGCTGGGGGGGGTCTGAAGGTGTCTGGAAGGGGGGGTTGCTTGGGGGTCTGGTGGTTTTTTGGGGGTAGGGGTTGTGTTGGGGGTCTGGTGCTTTAGGGTGGGTTGGCTTTGTGTGTGGGGAGGCGTTGCGGGGTCTCTGGGAGGGGGGATTTGGGGCTCCAGGCTGGTGTCTGAAGGGGGTAATTGGTGGGGTTCTGTGCTGTAAAGAGAGGGGTGCTGGGGGGATGTATGGGGGATGTTAGGGGTGTGGGGGGAGTGTTTGAGTATTGGGTCCGAGGGGGCATTGGGAGTTTGGTGCCTTGAAGGGGAAACTGGGGGGAGTC